AAAGATGACAACAATGGACAACAGCAACAACAATAAACAGTTATAAAAAGTCATAGTTTTTTTTTTTACTATTTAAAATAAGATGGCAAAAACAGTAACAAAAACAGGATTATAAAAACTGGATTATAAGGAGAATGTAGAAAACTAAAAACAGGAACATGTCTGAATTGGTCCTTGCCAGTAGTTCAACAGATTCTTAGGGTGCATTCACACCAGCCCTGTTGTCCCGAACTCTAGCTCGTTTTCCTAGGAAGTCCGGTTCGTTTGGGGAGGTGTGAGCTCGCCATCGAACTCTGACCCGGGCTAAAACCTAGGTCTCAGTCTGGTAGAAGAGAACTCGAGCGCGGTTTGAGTACAGTGTGAATGTTAGCAGAATGGGCCCCGCTCCGCAAGCAGGAAGTGGAGTACAGCGCAGGGCAAACAAATGCACATTTCTCTTATATGGAGCCGTCAGCTGCCTTGTGTGAAAAACAACATTCTCCATGGTCTTCTGCCTCATCTTCTGTTCATGCTGAGTCCATTGTTAAAAATGACAAAGTATAACTCCTAAAACTGCTAAAACTTGATGCCACTCCATTTTTGTTTTTATTTACAGAAGAAGAAGAAGACGTGTCTTCAGAGGTTTTTGTGTTGTTTCTTCCAGTAGCTCTTGGTGCAGCGCCCCCACAGGCGAGTGGGGGAACAGGTTGGTTCAGCAGGTTGACTCGACTGCACAGTGCAGTGTGAATGCAAACGCACCAGCTCAAATGTAACAAAAGGTCATGAATATTGGTCCCCAACCGAACCGAGTCTACCGGACTATCAGTAGTGAAAACAACCTTAAAGTCACTTAGAGAGGTCAAGGTTGAAAGCATCAGGTCTTTAAAGATAAAGATAACAGAAGGTTGTTAACTTCTGAAAAGACATGGATAAATATGTTCTTTGTTTACTAACCACTATTTTCATCTTCATAAAAGGAAACAAGAACCTTTTGTATCAACACTTACTTTTGGGACAAAGTTCAGCCCACCCACAGCCTCCAATGACAGACAATTGGCCTTTTTAATGGGTTACCACAGAGCAACACGGTTTGCATCTTTGCAGATTGCAATCAGCATACTTTCATGAACATTTTATATTTATTTTCTGCTGAAGGAATTACTCCCCTCATGTGTTCGACTATCTGCTGCTTCTTATTACTGTACTTTGCTTTCATCCACTTACAGAAGTCTTTAAATGTTGCCGTTGTGTGCTGCCAGAAACAGAACATGGACAGAGAACAAAAGGCTGTTTCTGTCACACAAAAGGCCACAAACCAGATTGTACATTATTGACTGACACCTGCAATGTTGAAATGCAAGCCTTGTGTTTGAACAGCAGTGAGTCGGTGTGAGGGCTTGATCATTTGCACCATGACTTGGTGAACAGCTGTATTTATTCTGGTGCCATTCACACAAACAGTAATGTTTCAACAACCAACAATACAATCACTAAAACATCTGCTACACTCTACTTATTTTACTGTTTAAACTACTACCACTACTAATGAAAGAAAAAACACTGACATATTTGCGTCGTGAAAATATCATATCATGATATAATTTATTTTCCCAGGCAAGATTTTTTTATCGGTATTATCGTGAACGACATGATATGGACCAGCCCTAATTGTACCCTGTATTTACTGGTTAACTGGTAATCATTAACGTCACACAGACTCTCTCACTGGTACATTTTCATCTTTAAATCACTTCTTGGTCTGCTGCCTTCATACATCTCCTCCTACATGTCTCTGTGTGAGTGCAGCTACAGCGTGCGCTCTCAGGACATTATTACCTGCAGTGTTCCCTCAGTGAGGACTGAACAAGACAAAAGGACCTTCTCCTACTCCACTCCCGTTTCCTGGAACATCTTGCAAAAAGACCTGAAACTCTCGACCTAGTGGCTTTGGGTCTGTTCTTCTGGGGCTGATGCAGTTTTCATTTCTGAATTCTGGCTAACCAAATCTAACTTAGATGAGGTAGTAATTGATGGATTTAACATGCTAAATTTCTGGCAAAGACCAGAAATGTTCCTGTTGTTATCCTGATGCATGCTCAATAATCCAGGTAGAAAAATCCAAAAAAGTTCAATCTGGTCCTCTGGACATTCAAAAAAAACAAAAAAAACAAAACAAAGCAAAAAAATATATAGAAACGTTTTGTCTCTCATCCGAGAGACTTCCTCAGTCTGAGGAGCTGTTTTCAGCTCAGTCTCTTAAATAGCACCTTCTCAGAGTGGATCAACCAGTTTGCTGCTGACAACCAAAACCAGCTGATCACATGCTCAAGAAGGACCATCAGCCTAACAATGGGTCATTAGCACCTGATGGTTGTTTACTGTTCACAGAGGGCTGAGTGATACTAGCAATCACAGCATTGTAAGAGGGGGACAGTTGAACCTGGAGGCTCCACCCCTGTTTAATGATGGACGGTTTCTTTTCACAAAGATGGCCTCCTTTACTCCTCTCTCAAACCATCGTTCCTCTCTGTCCAGGATGTGAACATCTTCATCCCTGAAAGAGTGACCGCTGGCCTGGAGATAAGTGTAGACCGCAGAATCCTGGCCTGATGATGTTGGGTTCCTGTTGTTAGTTTTCTACATCATTTTATAATGTAGCTGTTTTTGTTTCATTTTTAACACCATTTTATTTCAGAGTCAGAGTCAGAGTCAGAGTTTCTTTATTGTCATTCGCACCTCATGTGGTACATGTGGTGGAGCGAAATTATGTACACAGGGTCCCAGTTACATCCAACAATAAAATGTATAAGAAAAACAGTAATAACATCTAAGATATGAACTAAGAAAAACATCAACTAAATATACACTAAGCACTCTTAACATAAAACATTGAACATCAGCACAAACATGAACATGAGTCTGTGAGCAGATGTGCACGCATGAACACATCAACATTGAAACAGATCAGCAGCAACATGAAACAGATCAGCAACATGATATGGTTTTTCACAGTGATTATTCTAGTTAGAGATTCATGAGTCTAACAGCCTCAGGGTAGAAGCTGTTCCTCAGTCTAGTGGTTCTACACTTAATGCTCCTTAACCTCCTTCCTGAGGGGAGTGGGGCAAAAAGTGTGTGTGCTGGGTGGGTGGGGTATATATATATATATATATACTTGTATAGAAGAATCAATATTTTTGTCATTTGTACAACATGTGGTACATGTGGTAGAATGAAAATGTGTACACAACGTCCCAGTTACATCTAACAAAGTATTAAAATGTAAAAGAAAAAGAATAATAAGTGCTAAGATATGAACTAAGAAAAACGTTAACTAAAAACACACTAAGCACTAGGAGCAGAGAAACAATAGAAACAATTTATTTATTTATATATTTTGCCATGGCATCATGCAAACTTTTGATTTGAGAATGACCAACAACAAGGGTCCTCAAATAGCTGGGAAATGTATTTATCTTGTGGTGATACTTCTGTTTGCTATTTGACTAATCTTTGGACTCTCTTTTCTCCTCAGGTCCCTTAAAGTTGGACTGTTTTGCAGACAAGAGGCCTTTGTTGGGGGTTTGCAAGAGTGCAGGGTCCTCTGGGTGAGTTAATGCATCATAGTAGAACAGGAAGTACTTTTCTTTCTTTTCCTCTGGGCATATTTTTTGCTCTTTACTAGTGGTGTGATGGTACATGTGGGTGTATTGAACTGTTACGGTGCGGCATGTTCAGTTCGGTCCGTGTGTGTACCGTTTCAGTTTTTCTTTCACTCGTTAAATTTTATGAACAAGAGATTATGCACCGCGGAACTAAAGTTCCTAAGCGTGTTTCAGCACAGCGCTATTAATTGTTGCATAGTCTTGCAGCACGAGTAGCATTAGCAGCCTAGCAGGCAACAAACAAGCCATCTCTTTGCAATCTCCTGTTTGGGAACATTATGGCTTTCTTGTTAAAACTCAACAACGGGAAAAGACAAGTGCACAAATCCAAAGCTGTGTGTCGACGTTGTTTCACGGAGATTGGATCTGCAGCAGCAACACGTCTAACTTGTTAACACACTTGAAACAAAATCATCCGAATGTGAACGTCTCTTCTAGCAGCTTGGTTCAAAGACCGATAACATCAGCATTTAAACAACATTTATCAGATCGGTCCAAAGCAACAACACAAGCTGTAGGAGTTTTTAAAGCTCTGGATCTACGTCCAAATGATGCGCCACCGGCTTTGAGCGTATGATTAAAGTTCTTAAGCTCCACTGCCTGCGGCATCCCATCACATCAACACTTCAGCCAAAAAGTTGTAGCAGCACTTTATGAAAAAGCTGAAACTGATCGTCAACAAGCCCAACCCCAGATTTAAAGCCCTGCCCTGATGATGATGAGAAAGAGAGAATATTCAACCACCTCATATCAGAAATGATGACTGTGCAAGAAGAGGTAATGTTATTGCATTATTGTGATCTAATTAACTATTTTAATTTAACATTATAATCTTATTAACTCGGGCAGCACGGTGGCACAACTGGTAGAGCTGCTGCCTCTCAGCGAGAAGGTCCTTGGTTCAAACCCCAGTCCAGGAGCCTTTCTGGGTGGAGTTTGCATGTTCTCTCCGTGCATGCGTGGGTTTTCTCCGGGTGCTCTGGTTTCCTCCCACAGACCAAAAACATGCATGTTAGGCTGATTGGTAACTCTAAATTGTCCCTAGGTGAGAGTGAGAGAGTGAATGGTTGTTTGTCTTGCTTGTCTCTATGTGTCCCTGTGATGGACTGGAGACCTGTCCAGGGTGTCCCCCGCCCCTCGCACAGTGATTGCTGGACATGGGCACCAGCGACCCCCGTGACCCAAAATGGAATAAACGGGTAAAGATAATGGATGGATGGATGGATCTTATTAACTCAATTTTTTTTACCTCTGTGTTGTTGACAGTCTGAGGATGTCAACGAGATAGGGCTGAGTCTTCTTCATCCCCCAGATCACCTCCAACTAAGACTGAACTTGTTTACTTGGCATATTTTCAAAATAAACATTTTGTAAGTCTTTATTTTGACCTTTTTTGAACTGAGAATTAACTGAACCAAGCCCTCCTTGAAACTGAACCGAACCGAAATGTGATTTTAGCGTACCGTTACACCCCTACTCTTTACCGTGAATGTCACTAATCACGTTCACAAAACACTTCAAGCTGAGATTTATGCACCTTCTGGCTGCCTGGGTGTGATTTCTGAATGGGCTGAGGTGGTGAGGAAGGTTGAAACCAACCCTGATGCAAAAGAAGGTCATAACAGAAGCCAAATGGTTGATATGTGAAAATAATATACTGTATATACAATATATTATATATGTGTATATATTCTGACCATCCACTTATTGGCTTCAGTGTTTGCCCTAAATAACTTACCATCCTGGAGGTTCACGCTTCTTAGAGCTATTCCAATCTGGCTTTAAACCTCTCCACAGCACTGAAACTGCCCTGCTGAAGGTCTTTAACGACATCTTCAGATTCACAGATACCGGTGATTTTGTGCTGCTTGTCCTGTTGGACCTCACAGCCGCCTTTGACACCATCGACCATGAGATCCTCATTGCTAGGTTGGAGCAGTGGGTGGGCGTCACAAGGTCAGCCCTCAATTGGTTCAGATCTTACCTCACTGACAGATCCTTTTGTGTCTCCATCAAGGATTTTAGTTCTGCAGCGACAGAGCTTAAATGGGGGGTTCTGCAGGGGTCCATCCTGAGTCCCTTCCTCTTCTCTTTATACCTGCTGCCACTTGGCGCTATTTTCCGGAAACACAACATGCCCTTCCACTTCTATGCCGATGACTGTCAAATTTACTTCCCCCTAAGACATAATGGTACATGCTCTATCCAACCTCTGCTCGACTGCCTGGCTGACATCAGGGACTGGATGTCTTTTAAGTTTCTTAAGTTTCAATGAAAAGAAGTCTGAAGTCATGTTGTTCCCTCCCAACGACACAATCACAAACCACTGCATCGACCTCTCTGCTCTAACCCTGTCAGAAAAACAAAGAGTCACTAATCTGGGTGTGATAATGGACCCTTCCCTGAAACTTAACAATCATGTAAACACGATTAAATCATGCTTCTTCCAACTGAGGCGGCTGTCTAAACTGAAGCCCATATTGTCCAAAAAGAACCTGGAGACAGTAATACATGCATTCATTACATCTAGGCTTGATTACTGCAATTCACTCCTGTTTGGCATCAGTCAGACCTCCATTGCACGACTACAACTGGTCCAGAATGCAGCAGCCCCATTTTTAACCAGTACAGGCAAAAGAGAGCACATTACACCAGTTTTGGCCTCAGAATCAGAATCAGAATCAGTTTATTATCGCCATGTCAATGAACGAGGTTCACAAACTAGGAATTTGCTTCGACATAAGGTGCGAATAGTAATAAAGTAAAATAAAGTAAAAATAAAGTAAAAATTAAGTAAAAATGAGAACATTACATAAGACATAAGACCTGTGTACACCCACAAATAAAGTAAAATTAAAACCATAACATAACCATATGTACACCCATACAATAGAAAACAATAAAAAAGCTTAGAGAACAGTACAGATGGAGTATTCAGTTATAAAACAGATGTAATGTGACCAAAGCAGACATTATGAGGTAGCATTATGAGTGTTCAGGAGTCCAACAGCAGAGGGGAAGAAACTGTTCTTATGGCGGGAGGTTCTGGTCCGAATGGACCGAAGCCTCCTGCCTGAGGGGAGTGGTTCAAACAGTCCGTGTGCAGGGTGAGCAGGGTCAGCTATGATCCGACCTGCTCGCCTCACAGTCCTGGAGACGTACAGGTCGTGGAGGGATGGAAGGCTGCAGCCGATCACCTTCTCAGCTGAGCGCACAACGCGCTGCAGTCTGAGTCTGTCCCTGGCAGTGGCCCCGGCGTACCACACCGTGATGGAGGAGCTGAGGATGGACTCCATGATGGCCGTGTAGAACTGCACCATCAGCTTGGCCGGCAGCTTGGCCTTCTTCAGCTGTCGCAGGAAGTACAGTCTCTGCTGGGCCTTCTTGATGAGGGAGCTGATGGTTGGCTCCCACTTGAGGTCCTGGGTGATGGTGGTGCCGAGGAACCGATAAGAACAGAGCCTCACTGCACTGGTTACCGGTTCACCTTCAAATCCAGTTTAAAATACTCATGTATGTCTACAAATCACTGAACAGTTTCGCCCCCTCCCATCTCTCTGATCTGCTACAACGTATGTCCCACCACGCTCCCTGAGGTCAGCGGACCAGTTGCTCCTCACAGTTCCAGGAACTCGTCTTAAGCTCAGAGGTGACTCTGTAGCAGGACCAAGACTCTGGAACGAGTTACCTCTGCTTGTCAGACAGGCCCCCTCCCTCTCTGTTTTCAAGTCCCGTTTAAAAACCCACTACTATTCAGTATCTTTCAACACCAGAGGATCTGTGTTTTGATCCTGTATGCTCCACACTGGTTTGTCGTCATTATCTGCATCGTTTTTATGTCTATATTCTGATTTTCCTCATTTTGTATTTTGCTTTGTGTGTTGCCTGTTGTTCTGTCTGTACAGCACTTTGGTTGGCCTTGTTGCTGTTTTAAGTGCTTTATAAATAAAATGGTATGGTGTGTTATAGTGGGGCGCTTATCTCATACCTGGTTTTTGTCAACGGGGTTGGTGGGGGGTGGGTTGTGAATAGACTGAGTCCAAGCTGCACGCTGTTTGCACCAACAGTTTTAGAGTGGGGGGCTGTGGGGAGGTTCAGTGTGGGTGTTCAGCCTTTAGCTTTTTAGCTAGCATGCTTGTATTGCGCGTTGATAGCTTAGCACCACAACAGTGCCGGCGAGGGGGGAAAGTGTTGCGCGCAGTTGGATTTGGTAGGTGGGGCACTAAGTTCTGCTGACGGTGTGTGGCGCCCCGCTTGTATAATGGCAGGGGTAAAACAGTGATTAGTACTTTTTAGTTAACCGCAAAGAGAATCATTAAACTGAGGTAATTCATCATGCTTTGAAACTGACACAAGGGAGACGTTTGTCACGCATTTGATGTGTTGCGCTCCATGTCACTGCAGCTGAGTTCTGCTCCCCGCCTCTGTTGGTTCTGTCATGTTCGCTTCATTTCTGAAAGTTCATGTTTGTGCAGGATGTTGCTGGTTCTACCAATGGCCAGAGGCAGTATAAAGACAGACTGGTCTTTGCAGCCACTGTTACTAATGAACAACAGCTGAATTTTACTTTATGAATATTTTAGTTCAATTTTACTTACTGTAAATCTATACATGAAGTGTTACATCCTTGGTTAATACGTAGTAACGTTCAGCTCTAAAATACTCTTGCAAGAAGCAGATAAACAAATAATATCTATATGCTCTTTGATTAAACTTTTTTTAATTACTTGTCTTATAGAATATGCACAAAGCACATTTTAGTCTTTGTAGTACTATAGTATGTAGTTAGCCTCGCCACCATCACAGACATCTTCACCTCCAGATGCAGGAAGAGGGCCACCTGCATCATGAAGGACCACACTCACCCAGCACACACACTTGTTGCCCCACTCCCCTCAGGAAGGAGGTCGAGGAGCATTAAGTGTAGAACCACTAGACTGAGG